CCTTCCATCCACACCTCATCTTTCAGTCATGCTGTCCATCTGCCGATCTATGACCTCTCATCTGCCCATCTGTCATCCATCCGTCACCCATCTGTCCTTGTCCGTCTACCTAGCATTTGTCTGTTTGTCACATCCGTCTATCCATCCATCTACCTACATATCTAATCACCTCTCTATCTATTACAGCAAAAACGTTAAGAAAACAACCCTCTGATCTCACGGGTGTCCCCGGCCACTCCCAGCTCTAGATGACTGCCCCCACCAGGCTGCTCCTCCAGCAGGGCCAGCTCACGCCGGCATCAGGGCTCATGCACAGGCTGTTCCTCTGCTGGGGACATTCTTTCCAGACTCCCAGACGGCCCCTCCCATCATCCCAGCTCTGCCTGCTGACCTCCCTGCCTGCTCCCCGCATGGTGTCCCCCCAACTCAGCAGGTACATCTTGCTCCTTACACCCCCATTCACTCTCCGCCTGCGCCCCACCCCCACACCCCCACAGCACTGTCTGTCCCCCGTGAGAGCAGAGCTGGGTTCCTGGGGCTGGGCAGGCCACACAGAGGGGTGCAGGGGAGAGTCAGGCCAGAGGGGACAAGAGTAGTCATACCCACCCAGGAGTATCTCCACCCTGACCAGCTCCTGGGCCTTGATTTTCCGTCCACCCCTCAACCACTGTGACAGGTGCACAGGGCCCACCCAGCACACGTGGAAGACTAAGTGGGTTCAGACATTTATTGAGCACCTACTGTGTGCTGGATGGTGCTGGGGACAAAGGCTGCGGGTAGTGGCGTATGTTGGAAGGTCCACAAGTAGAAGCACAGATGTGACTAGGGAATGCCCATCCCGGCCCCCAGCTCCAGCACAGCATCTCATCTCTCAGGAGACCCAGTGGGCAAGGACCCTAGTTCTCAGGGTACCAGCCCTGGACTTGGGCCAGGCTCAGACACCGGCTCCAGGGGGACCCTCCTCCAGCCACACTGACCTCTCTGTGGACAGTGACTCTAGCCCAAGGCACCAGAGGGGGCTCAAACCCAAAGAGGGGCCAGGGAGGGGCAGCATTGGACACTGGTCAGGAAAGCCTCCAGGAAGGGGCCTCAGAAATGAGCCTCGATGGCCAAGCGGAGGCCTGGGAGGAAGCTCTCCTGAGAGCACCAGCACAACAGCACGCACTGAGACAGATCCGCTGGGAGAGTGAGGCTCAGAGCCCATAGGAGCACGGCAGTTAGAGATGGAGCCTGGGAGCTGGAGGGCGGGAGGTGGGGGACAGCCCGCACAGGTGCCTGAGTGGGGGGGAGGACACCAGGGGTCGGGACACACCCGCACCCACCTGGACACCGAGGTGCCTGGTCAAAGGTCAGCCCCAGCCACCAGGTCCAGACCTGGAGGGGGAGCCATGCGCTGTCCCCAAGGCCCCTAGCACCAGGGAGTCCAGCCTGGCTGATGGCCCAGGGCTCAGCATAGACATCAGGGGTCACCCCTTGGGTGCAGTCCAAGTAAACTTCCTCTTCTAGCCAAAGGAGGAACTCAGCCACATGTTGGCCAATCTCCGGCTGCTGACCTATGAGACTAGCCGTGCAGGTGGCGTTTCCTTCTGCGTGGCTGCTGTCCAGCACACACCACAGGCCACGGGCCACTCAGCCATGCCAGGAGCAACCCAGTGTGAACGGTGTGCACCACACGGGGCTGAGCCTAGGAGCTAAGGGCGTAGGCGCCCTTGTGGCCATGCAGCCAGCACCCCATTTGGAGGCAGGTTCTGCACCCACCACCCGCCTTCGCATCTTGCTTTTCAACCTAGTGTATCTCGGAACTCATTTCAGGCAGCAACTACTTTCTGAAACTCCCTTTATGGGACAAACACAGAAGCGGAGAGCAGTGCATGAGCCCCAGCACCCACAGCTGTCAGCACGTTTTCAGGCTTGTTTCATCTATGTCCCTTACTTTTATTCCTCTGGAAGATTTTAAAGCAAAGCCCAGGATTAGATCATTCTACCCACAGGTGCTTTAGGAATGAGGCTCTGTGCACAGACTGCGGGGGCGGGGCTACTTTCCCATGTGTTGGAGCCCCCCCCCCAGGCCCACTGGGCTCAGAGAAAAGAAGTGACGAGGAAGTGGGGCCTCAGGAGCTCCAGAGGCCTCACCCCCCACCCTGCAGCTCCAGAAGGCTGCCCGCTTGGTGGAGGAGACAGCAGAGGCCGGCAGGAGATACCCAGGTATCTCACCTGGAAGGGGCCAGGTGGGGGCACCCACCCTGCAGCTCCAGAAGGCTGCCCGCTTGGTGGAGGAGACAGCAGAGGCCGGCAGGAGACACCCAGGTATCTCACCTGGAAGGGGCCAGGTGGGGGCACCCCACAGTGGGAACCAGAGGCAACGGGGGAGGGAAGATGGGGCCGGCTGGCCTCGGCATCCGGGATGAGGGGACAGGCTGGTAGGCGCGTGGGGTGGACAGGTTAGGCTTGGGGTCTGGGGAAGCATGGGGACCAGGGAGAAGAGGGAGAGGTCAGCTGCTCGCAGCCTGGGAGCCGGACTTCTGCCGGGTGAGCGGCCCCACGTGGCAAGCGGCCATCTCCAGGACGGGCTCTGGTCTCTGCCCCTCCCATAGAGGATATTCCCACTAAACGTGGGCAGGGCCGGACACCACTGCAGGGGGGAACGCAGTGGGCAGACCAGGGGCCAGGACCTCGAGAAGACAACGCAGACTGGAAGGAAATGGTGAGAGCGCTGGAACTTCATGAGGGGTGAACAAAACGCTGCTGCTGCACGTGTCACCTCTGCCCGGGTCAGGGATTGCCAGAGGCCTGAGGACACAGGGAGCGGNGTTGGAGCCCCCCCCCCAGGCCCACTGGGCTCAGAGAAAAGAAGTGACGAGGAAGTGGGGCCTCAGGAGCTCCAGAGGCCTCACCCCCCACCCTGCAGCTCCAGAAGGCTGCCCGCTTGGTGGAGGAGACAGCAGAGGCCGGCAGGAGACACCCAGGTATCTCACCTGGAAGGGGCCAGGTGGGGGCATCCCACAGTGGGAACCAGAGGCAACGGGGGAGGGAAGATGGGGCCGGCTGGCCTCGGCATCCGGGATGAGGGGACAGGCTGGTAGGCGCGTGGGGTGGACAGGTTAGGCTTGGGGTCTGGGGAAGCATGGGGACCAGGGAGAAGAGGGAGAGGTCAGCTGCTCGCAGCCTGGGAGCCGGACTTCTGCCGGGTGAGCGGCCCCACGTGGCAAGCGGCCATCTCCAGGACGGGCTCTGGTCTCTGCCCCTCCCATAGAGGATATTCCCACTAAACGTGGGCAGGGCCGGACACCACTGCAGGGGGGAACGCAGTGGGCAGACCAGGGGCCAGGACCTCGAGAAGACAACGCAGACTGGAAGGAAATGGTGAGAGCGCTGGAACTTCATGAGGGGTGAACAAAACGCTGCTGCTGCACGTGTCACCTCTGCCCGGGTCAGGGATTGCCAGAGGCCTGAGGACACAGGGAGCGGGGGCGGCATTTGCACATGTGAACAAAGCTGCTCCTCCTGACTCATGTGCATGCGCTGCCCTTCCCAACTCCCTGGGGAGAGGGGACCCTGGGAGGGAGTCCTGGTTCCTGAGTCCCAGAGCCACTGAAATTCACTTGGGCAGCCATGGGGTAAGCTGCCCTCCATACCCCTAGCCCTGAGGAACCTGTCCAATCGTCCTAGAAATGCTCCCCCTGAACCAAGTTTGAGGGAGGTCACGCGAGCCCCTCAGAGCAGGAACCCTGCCCTGAACTCAGATGGAGGCGGTGTGGGACACACAGGTCCTGGACAGGGCTTTACTTTACCTTATTTTGGGATAAATGACACAGCAGACACCCAGGCCCCCATGAGGAGGTTGGAGTATGCACATGGTGCATATAAAGACAGCCATGCTTGCTCCAGTCAGGCTGGCAAAAGCACTGTTCTTAGACTTCCCAGTGGGGACAACTCTGGGACCCCGTGGTGTCCAGGCTACAGCACGCCCTGGAGGCCAGCCCACGCCAGGTTCTGGCCGAGCAAGTGCCTGTGAGACCAGCGGTGCAGCCTCCAGGAGCACAGCTGAGAAGCGCCCACAGAGCAAGCGATAAGCACATCTGGCAAAACATTAATAAGCGGCGCACCAGAGAGCATGAGTTCTTTGAACTATTCTTGCGACTTTTCTGTGTGTCCAAGATAAAAAAAATAAAATAAAGGCATCTAAGGCCTTCGAGCCTCAGAGCCCGGCCTCTGTGCCCCCAAACCTCACCCTGAGAGATATCGGAGCTAAAGAGCTCCCCAAACCTGAGATTGTGGAGAAGGCACCACTGCTGGAACCGTGTGCTCCTGCTGCTCCTGCCTGAGGGAGAGGATGGCGCGTGCAGCCTTACGAGGGGGGGTGTGAGCTTTATTGATTATTCATGATTAGAAAAATGGGGGCTTGGAGCCCCGCAGAGGGGGCTGGGGCTCTGCTCGGTCACTGCTGGTGAAGAGTGTATGGGGGGCCTGTGGCCCCACTTCCCTCTTGATGGTCACCAAGCCCAAGCACTGAGACCGGACACAGTGGCCACCACTGGGGCCAAAAGGCAGTGCTGGCTGCCCAGCATCTCTGGGATAGGAAGTGGGCAGAGCCAGGATCACCAAGACGACCGCGGCAGGCCCCATGAGAGATGGGGACGCTGGTGCATTGGCAGGGGAGGGGCATCTCCTTGTCCTTCTGGAATGTTCTGAGACAGAGGCCATCCCTGTCCCCTCATCCAGCCCATCCACAGACCTGCTGCATGTCCTTGGGCAGGTACGACTATTTGCTGGGCACAGTTCTCTGGGCTGTACAGTTCTGACCTTTCAGACCTTGTGGCTAGCCCCCACACGCCAGGAGGGAGCTGCCTCCCGGGAAAAGCAGCCAAGAGACAGAAGTGGCCTTCTGCACGGCAGTCGCAGTTGGAGCAGCAGCTCATCCTGGGACATGGTCCAGCAGAGGCTGGCCTGGGCTCTGACAGTTTTGGGGAGTGCCACGTGTAGGGAGGTGGACACTTCAAGGGCACGGCAGCTCCTGGGGTCTGGGTGGCCGGGCTGGGCAGGTGCAATCCAGATTCTGAAAAGAAGAGAGAGGAGAGACGTGAGTTGCCTGGCCAGCCAGCGGGACCTAGAAGAGGCTCTGAGCCCATCCTAGTGACACCCCATGAGCATCAGGGCCAGGTGGACACCTGGACACTCAGACCCAGGACAGAGAAGGGCCCAATTCTGACCCGGGCAAGCCATCATTGCTCTCCAAGACTGTTTCCCCTCTGAAGCCAGGATGAATAAATTGTTCCTGGGTCATTTCCAGGATCTAAAGGCCTGACCTACTGCAGGGCGCCAGAGCCAGGCAGCTACAACCACAGCCACCCAAGCCCGAGACTCTGCTCTGGCTGCTTCCAGCAACAGGATGCACAGTGGCCCCTGACTTGGGCCTTTGAGGACAACCCTGAGGACACCACCAGGTCACCATGGAGGTCAGGGCTCAGGAGGATGCATGCCACGTGCCCACAGGCCCCAGCATCCCATTCCCAGCCAGCAGACATGGATGATCTGGGAGAGTAGAGGGCTGCATTCAAGGCACACAGCAGGCGATTAATATGTGGCCTGGTCATCATGCTGTGAGTGAGAGACATGCTGGCATCCAGGGGTTCTGTGAGGATGCAAACTTAACAACAAACTGAGGCCACAGCTGGCAGTGAGTTGGATGCCAGGTGAGGACGCCCGAATCCCGGCCGTGGCAAGAGGTTGGCCTCTGGCTCCACGGCCAGGGCACCGGGACTGTTGTGTCCCCCACATGGGAGATGGCATGGTTGAGGGATCCTAGGAGGCTGTGGACCACCATGGGCAGCAGCCACTCCCAGCCTGCTCCTGCCTGGAGAGGGACTAGGCCAGGTGGAGGCCAGACACTCCTAACTCAGCCATGCAGTCAAAGGCCTGGCTACCTGGGTCCCATCCATTTGTTCACAGTGGCTACCATGGTACGATTTTCTCTTACATCCCCAGAACACAAGTGCTCTGCCCTGAGCATAGACTGCTCCGGTCAACTCTACCATGGGCCTTACTGGTGGACAGACGGTCACTGTTGGGAGTGCCCACCCTCCCGCAGCAACTCACCTCCACCTCTAGGACAAACCCAAGGAGCGATGCTAGGCCAGAGGCCATGTGGACTGTGGCGTACGTGGCCCTGGTCACGCCTGAGCCCCCCCGGCCCCCCCATGGACCTCGGGCAGGTGCTTGCCGTCCCTGAGCATGACAGAGGGAGGGCTGAGTGTGACGTAGGAAGTGCTTCCTACACTGCAGGCCTCACCCTGTGTTCGAGAAGGGGGTGGCCTCGATTGCGCTTACACACAGCCAGGGTCTGTCCTAGCACAGGTGGGTGACGCAGACCCTATAAGGGGCAGACTTGAGGTGTCACAGGGATTCTGCGTGACAAGATCCCGCCTCTCACTGTCCTGATCGGAGTGGTGTAGCCAGTGGGTACATCTGGCAGGGATCACACAAAGGCCCCCTTCTTGGGTGAGGGTTCATATGAAGCCTCACTTGCCGAGTGGGGCTGAAGAGGGTGCCCAGCCCTCGCTTTGTCAAGAGAAGCCAGAAATCTCATTTTTACCTGAGTTCTCCAGATGTTTAAATGGTGACTCCAAAAAAAGTTTTGTCTAAACAGCATGACCACGGGTGGTCAGTGCAAGGAAGGGCTCATCTCGAGGCAGCAGCCAGGTGTAGACGATGCAAGTGTAGACAAGGGTTCCCCGGTCGGACTCACCATGCCCCAAGAGCCTTGGATGGCGAGTAGCCCCAGGGCTGTGGAGGTGGGTCTCGCGCCCGCCCCCCGGCTCACCTGAGTGCCCTATTGCCGGGGCGCCACATCCACCATGGGCTTCTGGACCCCAAAGGCCGTGATAAAGATGTTCACCACGACGATGATGAACACCAGGCCTGTGGCCAGGTTGTTGAGGAAGTCCAGCTTGGCGTGCTTGGCTGGGTTGTTAAGGTCGTACTTGACTGCAGGCGAGAGGGAGTGGAAGGTGCTGAGGGCAGCCCAGACATGCGCCCAGCCCGGGGACGTGGACGGAGACCCCACGTGGGGAGCCGTGCATCAAGCTGCGCTGAGGGGACCTTACAGGGCCCTCGGCTGCATTTGGAGTGAGTTTTGTCCCCCGGAGGAAAATACTTCTGTTTCACTAAAACACTGACGATGGGGTCCGTGGCTCGGGCAGCCCTGCTGTCTGTGACCCTACCTCTGCAGGCATCCCCACGCCCACTTTCTCCATAAGAAACTGAAGCTCAGACAGGCCAAGCGCCTGAGGTCACAGAGCTGAGGACGCTGCTCCTGGA